AAAAAAAATTAATTGTTAATTTCATTGTTTTTTTTTTCTAATTTTTAAATACAAAAAAAAAATAAATATTTACTTTTTTTTTGAAATGATTAATTTTTCAGTTGAAATATTAATTTATTTATTTCTTATTCAATAACTTCGCTAGAGTACTGTTTTATTAACTGAATGTTCGGTGACTTCACCAAAGTACTGATGAAATAAATTAATAAAGAACATGTAGAGTTACCTCTACTGTTTTATTGTATTTATATATATTTTTAAATGCGTTGAACTAGTGATCCTTAATTATGTAATCTACTTAATTTAGCATTCTTTAATTTCAATAGGCATTTATTTATTTTAATAAAAATCTTTATTTTTATTAAAAATTTAAATACTTATTGAATATTGATTATTAATTAAATATATATTACTTATTTTTTTCTTATGATTTATGTCAATCAATTTAAATATATTGCTGTTGAATTAACAAACATAAACAATTAGTAAAAATGCAAATTAATTATATGAATATTACTTACGTGAAAATTTTATTGTCATATGTATAAAATTTTCTCTCACGAATTAAAAATATAAATATTATGCAAATTAATCTCTTTTATATAAACATTATTATCTTCTTAGGTTCGTATTTTTATTGCTGCTAAATCTTACTATCGATTTTAATTTTACAAAATTTTCTCTCTTTATTATCCAATTCAATCATTTCATTCATTTCATAAAAAAAAATAAATATCTTTTTTTTTTTTTTTTTTTTTTTTACGTATCTTCTTTTTTCAAAAGAAAAATATCTCAAAAAAAAATTCCATCAATTTTTTTTTTTATGTGTATGTGTGCATGACCAACTTCGTATTCTTCATTTAACTAGCCCTTTTATTTTCCAAAAAGGTTAATGAAGGTTTTTATTAATGAGTGGCCCAATATTAGTAAAGATATTGAAGAATACGTTACAAATTGTTTAGTTTGCCAAGTAATGCGTAATCGGAAATTTAAACCCAATAGTAATCAAGATTTATCAAAACCGAATGTATTTGATATGGTTTCATTAGATAATAAGGGACCTAAAACATGGAAAAGTATAGAATATTTTATACAAGTAGCAATAGATTATCATTCATGCTTTATGGTGACTAATATAACTAATAAAACACCTAATGCTATGAACGCAATTAACATTATAAAGAAAACATGGATACGCATATTTGGATTCCCTAGAAACATTTTAATAGATCGCGGTTCAATTTACACTAGTCAAGAATTTCATGACTATGTTACAAAAGAAATACAGGTTAAATTGTATCATACCAGCGCATATTATCCACAAGGAAATGGTATAAATGAAAGCTCTCATAAAAGCTTAGATTTTATCATGAAGACTTTATATGAAGAAAAAGATCTACCTTTTGAAGAAATAGTACAAAATGCAGTACTAATATATAATAATACACCTCATGGAGCTTTGGAAGGACACCCTATTCTGTTATGTTTGGAAAAGAAGGTATTTTTGCAGGGTTTGCAAAATTAGTACCAGAAACAACTTTAGAAATTAGGATTATATACATAAACGATCGATGGAAAAACATACATGAAGATGTTAATGAAATCAAAAGAAAACCTATAATTGAGAATAAAAATATTAAGGTTTAAGATATTATCTCATACGAGTTATCCGAATACGAAAGGAATCAAATGAAATACTATATTGGAAATATACGATAAAAACCATATTTATCATTTCCACATAGAGTAACTATATTTGAAAGCGAAATTATGAAAGCATTACCTATATATTATAGAGGTAAAGAAGTAAAAATTCCAATGTCAAAAATAAAATTGTTCAGTAACAAAACCAGGGAAATATATGAAAGGAAACTACACAACTTAATACAAGTTACAAATAAGAATAAAAGGAAATTAAATCTGACGCATGATTTAAAGTCTAAGAATTACCTAGATATTCATAAACGGAGTAGTATCATAATGTGTGATATCAACGATAATCAGGACAAGCAAATTGAAAAAGGAGTACAAAAAGGAATTGTTGTAATAAAACAATACAAAAATAACATACTTTAAGTAATAACAATTACTTTCCCATGGTGGTGGAGTATGGTTAATAAAAGGCTTTATTAACATTTTTGGAAAATAAAAAGACTACTAAAATGAAGAATACAAAGTTCGTCATACATACACACGCACAAAAAAAAATTGATGATTTTTTTTTTGTTTGTACTTTTTTTTAAAAAAAAAGTACAAAGACTGTCAGGAAAAAAAATTGATTAAAAAATCAATTAGAAAAATATTTGTTACCAATAAATAAATATAAAAAAAAAAAAAAAGAAAAAAAAAGATTTTTTTTTTTGGGAATGAATTATGATTTTAATGAATATTGTAAGAGAAAGTTTTATACATATAACAATAAAATTTTCATGTAATTAATATTTGCATAATTTTTGATATTTGTAAATAATTGTTTATGTTTGTTAATTCAAAAGCAATATATATTAATTGTTGAATGTAACTAATAACAAATAAACTAGTAATTGTAATTAATAATTAATGTTAAATAAGGATTTATATTTTTAATAAGATCAATGATTTTTATTAAAGTAAATAAATGCCTATTGAAATTAAAGAATGATGAATGAAGTAGATTACGTAAATAAGGATCACTCATTCAAAGCATATAAAATATATAAAAATACATCAAAACCGTAGAGGCAACTCTATAAGCTCTTTATTAATTCATTTATTCAGTACTTTAATAAAGTTACCTAATACCCAATTAATAAAACATGCACAAATGTATAATAAATAAAAATAAAATTGTTTACTTTAAAATAAATAATCTTAAAAATAAGCACTAAATATATACCGATAACCATAATTTAATTAATCCATATTCAACAAATTAAATTAGAAAAAATTTAAATCAACAAACGTCAAATAACTATAATCTAAATAAATTTATATTCATTTAACATAACCTTCACCCTTTTCCTCACAACATGCATATTCAAAATAAATATTATAAAATTCAACAATAAAACTTTTATAAAATTTATACCATGTTATAATATTCATACAGTCAACTTATCTTTTACCTTCCCTTAATTTTTAATATAATTATTCAATTCTTAATCGTAATATCAACTTAATAATATAAATGAATAAAAATAAAAAAAATTAAAAAAATGGTAAATAATTATTAAATTTTTAATAATGAAAAACCATAAATATAATTATAAATATTCATAAAAAAAAGGTTTCTCCTATAATATTCCTACGAAAAAAATAATAAACTCCCATAAAAATAATATAAAGTGATAATAAAAATAAAACACATTTACTTTCTCACGAACTTTTTCAGTAAATCATTCATTATAATCTATCTTACAAAAACATAAATATAAAAAACAAAAAAAATTGAAGAAAATCATAAATTTTATTTTTTTTTATTATTTTTTATGCAGAAAAATTAAGTTTCTTAAATTCATCTCACACTTTTTATTCATTTTTTTTTTTAATGTAAATGATATATTTTTTCTAAGAAATTTTTGCTTGTAAACTATTGTTATTTTCATTTTCTTAAAATATTATGAGAAATAATTGTAGAAAAAATAACCAAAAAATAATTTATATTACTTTTTGTTTATAATAAAAAATTCTAAAATAATAAAAAATATTTCTTTAAATAATGTTAGATATATATATATATATATATATATATATATATATATATATATATATATTACCAAATAAAAATTAATAAAACAATAAAATGTTTAATATAATTATAATGAAAAAAATAAAGTGCATTAGTCATTAACATAAGCTTACTTTTTTTTTTTTTTTTGATGCATATATTTCTGCACAAATAAAACTAAATTATAATGCACTAATTTATTAAAAAAAACTTAAATTCTATAATAAAAAAAATAGGAATAAGTTTGATCAATGTTTAAAATGTAATAATTTAACAACAAATAATGTAGCTTTTTATAATTGTAATTATTTCATCTATTAAACTTAATATAATATATTTATAAAAATATATACGAATAGCCAAAATAGTATATTGTAGTTATCAATTTTAGAATTTACATATATATATTTTACTTCTTTTTTTATTTACTTATTTTACATTTTCTATAAGTGACAGTTAGATCTTTTAAAATAAGAATTATAAATTATTAAGTAAATTATGCTATTTATTTTTAAAAACCATATACTACTTATAAAATTTTACTTCAACTATTCAAATTTCATCTTCATAAAAAATTTGCTATAAAAATATTATATAATAATTAAATATTTTATTCAAAATATCAAAATTAAATAATTATATTATCGCTTCAAACTTATATTCATATTCATATAATTATATAGAAAATTTAAGAAAACACAGAAAAAATCCTAAATATGATTTCTTTTTTTCATACAAATTTCATAGTATAAAATAAAGTTTTACATTAAATATTGTTTTCTTTTTTTTTTTCTTAATGTTAATTTTATAAATTAAATTTTTATTTTATTTATCATAATTTTTCATTTTTTTTAAAAATTAATTACATTATTATTGCATGAAAATTACAATAATTTAATATTTTACACAAAAAGCAAACAAAAAATTCCTTTTTCTCCGAATTGTGATTTTTTTGCTGCATAAAATGACAATTTCAAATATAAATAAATTTATGATATAGTTATCACATAAGCACAAGTGTGGTCATTTCTACATGGAGATTATAACGGTTTCCTGATGTAATTCAAGTGTACAATGATACCAAAAAATAATAAAAATAGCCATATTCAATTTTTTAGTAAAATTAAATTATTTTTCTTCTTTAATTGGGTTGAAGAATGCCTTTTTAATATATGATAAAACTCAAATGTAAAATAAATGAATATTTATTTATTACCTTTTTCTCTTCTTTAAATTTTCGCCTTTATACATTATTGATATAAAAATTTATTTTTCGTAATATATCAATTTTTAAATGTTATTACAGAATTTTTTAAGAAAACCTTGTCAAACAACAGCCATGAGAAAAAACTCAATCTCAGAAAATGCTAGATTATTATCAGAATTAGAAGAAATTTCCTGCATGTCAAATCAAGGAAATATTACAATAGAAAACAATGCTAATTTATCTAATGATACAATTAAGCTCAAAACAGAAATTAAATCATTTATGGATGATACTCGTAATGAACTTCAATTTTATCTTGAAGACAATAATATTAAGAATGACACAAAAAAATGTCAAAAGGCATCCTCATACATAAATTGGAGAGGAATGGACTATGTTAATTTGCTATTAAGTGAAAAAGAAGATTATAATATCTCCTGTCTTGTTGAAAAATGGAATGAGAAAAAAAAAACTTTTGAAAAAAGTATAGATGAAAAAATGAGTTCAACGTGTAATGCAACAGCGTTTGATTATTGTGCTATTTTGAATAAAAATAAAAACTGCACTAGACCTTATGAATATAATGATCTATCATTAGGCACGTTATTAACATACGATCAACTCAATAATGCTATTTATAGTACTAATAAAACTCAAATTATTGAAGATAGACGGTTAAGTTTTCTCAATATTACTAATGATATGTCTGATTACCATTTCAGGGTTTACGAGAAAGATAGATCTGAACGTAATTGCGGGAAATGGAGCATGTATATATATAAGAGAGGAAAACAATTTGTTAATATGGCGGAAAATGAATTATATGATGATCATTTATATATAAATGATTCTATTAGAATATGGAATGTTCATAGTAATACATTGCAAAATACTGAGTTAGAAGACACTGGTATTCAATGTAATATGACAACATTAATTCATCAAATTAAACAGAGACAAAATACAGATGACCCATATAATTTAGATTGGCTTCCTTCAAATAGCACTCAAAATAAATCTAATGAAACTTCAAATAATACAACTACATTACCAGATGTCTTACAACCTACAACTGTAACTCCTAAAGAATTACTTAATGCTGCTACTACAAATTTATCAGATAATAATACGAGTATTGTTAATAACATAAATGGTGTGAATTCCTCTGAAAATATATTCATAAGCGTCACCGCAGAACCATCAATGACTACAGATCAAACTTCCCCAGAAACTGCAACCACAATTTCTCCAGAAGACTCAACACAATCCAATTCATCAACTCCAAATGATACAATACATCCTAATACTAATACTATATCTGACACAACCTCATCATCACATTCCCCTGAGATTGTAACATCTCCTGCAACTAAAACATTACCTTCAAATTCTACTACAAGTAGTGGCACACCTTCAGTTACACCTTCACCTGGAGAAATATCTGCAACAGCGACCAATGAATATTCTTTTAATACTATGAAGTCATTTACAAATAATATTACACCTTCTGCTACTATCACTTCGCCTCCTACATCCGCATCTTTATCTTTCTCTGAGACTGTAATATCTCCTATATCTAAACCCTCACCTTCAGACTCTCCTACAAGTAGTAATAAATCTGTAGATACATCTGCCCATGAGCATATGTCTCCTACAAATATAGCTATACCTTCTACTAGTAACAGTGTATCTCCTGCAACTAAACCTTTATGTTCACATTCTCCAACAAGTAGTAGCGCATCTACAGTTACAGGTTTTCCTGTTAACGATTCTTCTACAAATATAACTGCATCTTGTACTACTACGGTTGAGTCATTGGAAAATAATATTACACCTTCTACAACACCCACTAATTCTCCTGCAACTTCTTTATCTTCTCAAACTGTAACTTCTGTAAATAAAAATATATCTACAAATGGCAATACATCTGTTACAAATGACACTGCATCTCCTAAAAATAATCCTTTACCTTCTCCTGAGTTTGCACCTTCTCTTACAACTATGACTACCACTCCTACAGATAGCTCTACACCTCCACTACATTCATCTATTCCTAAAATCACAACGTTGCCATCTACAAATAATTCTATATCTCCTGCAAAAGATACGTCTATTCTTCCTACTAATGATGTTACTCATAAAACTGAAACTTCACCTTTATCAGATAATTCTACACATTTTTCAACAAATACCAACGAACCTTCTACAAACAGAATTGCATCTCCTGCAACTAACACTACATCTCCTACTTCTGATATTATATCTCCAACTGCACTATCGAATTCTCTAGATAAAACACCTATTCTCACAACTCCAACTGCTTTTTTTCCTACAACAAATAACAATTTACCTTCAAATCAAACAGATATTATCCAACTGCAGAACCAACAAATTATACATGCCCCTCTTAAACAGGTTCAACATGTAAATGGAAGAAATTGTACTGAAAACACTTCATCATGTCCAAGTGCGGCTGTTCCAAATACTTTGACGCCAACCCCATCAAATATTCCTACCAATGTTATGCCTACAGTTAAACCTACAGATAATTTATTAATAATGGTTCCAGGAGGTATTTTTCTTTTAGGAATTATTTTTCTCTTGGTTCTTCTTTGGAAAGTAAGATAAAATTAACATTTAAAATTGAAAAAACTTATATATTTAAAATCATAATTACATTAATGAAGAATTTTTATAATTTTTTATTTTTTAATTTGAATTATAGTGTACTCCTATTGGATCTTGGATTCGTAATAGGAAGTCAAAAAAAAAAAAAGCAAGAAAAAAGATTAAGAAAATAACAAAGGAACCGTTGCTAATGGACACAAATTATATAAAGAAAGAACCAATAAATAATAAAAAATATTCATTCCTACACCATGAAAAAGAAATACCACTATGTGATATGAGTTTGGAAAATGAAAAAGATTTGAAGTATAAACAAATGAAGAAATCTAGAGCACATAAAGGAAAGTATATGGAAAATGAAAAAGGTTTGCAGTATAAACAAACGAAGAAATCCAAATCACATAAAGGAATGTATATGGAAAATGAAAAAGATTTGAAGTATGAACAAATGAAAAAACCCAAAGCGCATAAAGGAACGTATATAGAAAATGAAAAAGATTTGAATTATGAAAAAATGAAGAAATCCAAAGCACATGAAGGAGTGTATATGGAAAATGAAAAATATTTGAAGTACGATCAAATGAAGAAATCCAAAGCACATGAAGGAATATATATGGAAAATGAAAATAAATGCATTCGTGAAGTTGTAGAAATATCAAAGAAGCACGAAAATGAATCTATATTGGGAGAAAAATTATATGAAGATGATCCTAGAGATGATATTGAAGAAATTGAATTGAATGTAAATAAATCTAGAAATAAAATCAAAGAAGAAAAATTGAATAAAAATATATTAAAAAAAAATACAGCTCATAATGTAGAGTACATTATGGTAGATACGTTAAATGAAGAAGAGACAAATGATATGAATGTAATAAAAGAAAAATATGAATGTAAAAATGAAATGAAAAATTTAGAAAACAAAAGATCAATTAATGATGAAGTATGTAGTTGGAATACATGGATAAATATACATTTGATAGCATTACTTGAAAATAAAAAAGAGGAATGGAAATTGAATAAAACTGAATTTTTTAAAATTTTCTCAGAAGAGTTCGAAAAAGATAGAGAAAATTTTAATTTAAAAGAAATGAGAAATAATTCTGTAATAAAAATAAAAGGAGAAAATAGTGCCGTTACAATGGAAAAAAATAGTAGTATATTAGAGAAATATAAAAACGAAATGTGGTTTATTAATTTGAAGAATGAATGGAAACAAGAACAAGAAAAACACTTACAATATTTAGAAGAACATGAAATTAAAAAAATGTCAGAATTGGGATTAAATAATTTTATTCTAGGTAAAAAAAAAAAAATATGGAAGAAATGGATAGAATGGCAAATAGAGCATTCATACGAATACAAAAATCAGAAATGGTTTGTACAATTGCTAGAAGAATATGAAAAAAAAGAAATACATGAAAATTTAAAGGAAGAAAAAATTAAGAAAGAAAGAAATAATGGAATAGATAAAAATGAAATGAAGAAAAATTTGGAGAGGAGAATTTTGTTAGATATTCATATGATGGTATTAGAAGAATGTATGAAAGAAGAGTGGGAAAAAGAAGAAGAATTTTTTAAAGCAAATATGGAAGAGTTAAAAAAATATAAAAATTTGGACGAAGAAACAAACATATTAGATAAAATAGAAAGAGAAAGAAGTTGGAATGTTATATCAGAGAAAAAAAAAGAAGAAATAGAAAAATGGAAAAAAGAAAAATGGTTTATTGAGTTAATGTTAGAATGGAAAAATAATGAAGAAAAATATATGATGGAAACATATGAAGAAATTTTAGTAAAAAAGAATAAAAAAAGAATAATAGATGTTATCTTAGAAAGAAAAAGCAATATATGGAAAAAACAATGTGAAAATATTTGTAGAAAGTGGAAAGAAGATGATAACAATGAAGAATGGTTTACAAAGTTAGTTAATGTATATGAAAATGAAGAGAAAGAATATAAAAGTAGAATTTCTAAAAATAGTATAGAAAAAAAAAAAGAAAATAAAAAAACCATAGAAAGAGGTGAATCAATAATAGAGATTAATAAAAAAGAGGAAGGAAAAATGAGAAAATATGAAAGGAAAAGTTTACAGGAATCATACGAAAAGAATAATTCTATAATAAACAAAAAAAAATTAAAATGGAAGACTTTAATAGAAATATATATGGTAATATTGGAGGAATGTAGAAAAGAGGAGTGGTTATTGAATAGAGGAAAATTTTTAGAAACCTGTTTAGAAGAATTTATAGAAGAAGATAAAGAAAAATATCCAAAAATAATAGAAAATGATTTAGCAATGATAAAAGAAAGGGAAGAAGACGTTGGTACATTGATGATTGAAAAACAAAAACTTTTATGGAAAAAATGGGTAAAAAGAAACAAAAGAATGTCAGAGAAATGGAAAAAAGAAGAATGGTTTATTAACTTGAAAAAAGAATGGGGAAAAGAACAAGAAAAATTTGATGAATTAACAAAAGAATCTGAAATCGTAGAAATAGAAGCAGAAAAAAATCCTATGCTAGAGAAACAAAAAAGAATATGGAAACAATGGCTAAAAAAACAAAGAATGTGGTTTATACTACATAGCGAGTATGAATGGTTTAACAATTTATTAGACGAATACGAAAAAGAAGAAGAACATAAGGAAGGAATAACTAAAAAAGATGAGAAAGAAGCGATGGAAATTCATGAAAATATAGAGGAATTGAAACAAGAAATAGATGAAGAAATAGAGAAATATAAAAAAAAAGAAAAATTGATACAAAAAGTTTTGATAGAAATACATATGACACTATTAGAAGAGTGTAAGAAAGACGAATGGCAAAAAGAAAAAGAATATTTTTTTAGAACAATGATGGAAGAGTTGAAAATACAAGAAAATTTAGATGAAAATGTTATCATATTGGATATAAAAAAAAAAAGAAGTAGGAATGTTATATTAGATATTGAAAAAGTGGAAATAGAAAAATGGAAAAAGAAAAAATGGTTTATAGAGTTAATGTTGGAAATGAATAACAAGGAAAAAAAATACATAAAAGACATATATGAAGATATGATAGCAAAAAAGAATGAGGATGGAATTAGAAATCCCATGTTAGAAATGCAAAAAATTATATGGAAGAAACACTGTGAAGATATTCATAATAGGTGGATAGAAAAAAATAATAAGGAAATTTTACAACACTAATTTATTAATAAAAAAATTATGATAATGAATAAAAAAGCAAAATTTATAAATAAAGTATAGGGGAGAAAAATAGTTGTGAAGAAACTGGAAAAATAAGTAAAACATTAGAAAAAATTTTAGAAGTAATAAACAGAATTATTGAACTTTTTGAATGGTTGTTAAGAAATAAACTTAAACATTGTTATATGTTTAGTTATTTGATTCATTAATTTATTAATTCAATAATTTTGTTAGAATATTGATTTATTAATTTCTTGTATAATAAATTTTCTAATGTTGAACAAATAAATTAAATATATAGAGTCTAGATATAACTATAATTATTTTATTTAGAATAAAATAAATCATTACATAAATCATTTATTTTTATTAAATAATATTAAATTTTAACTCTATTATTAATTGTTTTAGATAATCTATACAATACAAATGTATTATCTAACGTTATGTTATTTAATCTTTCATGCAAAAAAGAATAATACCAATTGCATCACCAAAAAAAAAAAAAATTATTATTCTTGTTTTTAAGATGAAATTTTTTTTTTCCATTAAAAAAAAAATAAAAAATAAAATTATTGCTATTTATTTTTTATTAAAATTTCATAGGTTTTCTGAGTAGTAAAATCTGAAAAAAAATAAAAATTTTATTTTTATAATATTAATACACAAAAGAAAATAAATAAATGAAATATATATATATTTTTTTTTTATTCGCTTGTTTTTAAATTTTATTTTCAATTTTATTATTTTCTATTAATACTCTATTTAAATACTTTCATAGTGCTTTAAATAGTCAATAGAGAGTATGTATAATGATTTCTACTTATTCATTTTATTATAAAATTAGCTTATATAGATATTTATATACATATTTTACATGTATCAATTCATAATTAACTTAACACATATGTTATAAAATTTATGCTTTTTAAGACTTCTTTGTAATTTTTCAAATAGAACCACAAAAATTATCATATTTATTTATTTCCCAAAAAAAAATAAAAAAAAAATAATTTTTTTTTTAAAAAATAAAAACGAATACGTAATGTTTTTCTATGAAAATGCTAACAATACCATTTATTTTATACATAGTTCTGCTAAATTTAAGAAAATATTCTTTTAACCACAAATTATCTTGTATTTTATTTCTCTACATGCAAAAGTTATTATAAGTGTTCTCATACATATATCTCTTTATATACTATTTAATTATCCTTCATTTAACTGCATTTCTCAAAAATGAATTCTATCATTCTGTAAATGGTTAATAAAAGGATTTATTAACCTTTTTGGAAAATAAAAGGACTATTTATATGAAGAATACGTAGTTCATAATGCACAAACAGAAAAAAAAAAAAAAATGATCAATTTTTTTTGTTTGTATTTTTATAAAAAAAAAAAAAATTAATTGGAAAAAGATCTGTTACCTATAATAATGAGATAAAAAAAAAAAAAAAAAAAAAACAGATTTTTTTTATTTTGTAAAACAAAGTATGATTTTAATGAATTTTGTAAGAGAAAATTATACACATATAACAATAAAATTTTCACGTAATTAATATTCATATAATTAATTTGTATTGTCACTAATGGTTTATGTTTGTTAATTCAACAGCAATATATATTAATTGCTGAATATAACTCGTAACAAAGAAACAAGTAATATACATTTAATTAATGATCAATATTCAATAATGATATAAATTCTTAATGAAAATAAAGATTTTTATTAAAGTGAATAAATGCCCTTTGAAATTAAAGAATGCTGAACGAAGTAGATCACATAATTAAGAATCACTGGTTCAAAGCACTTAAAAATATATACAAATACATCAAAACCGTAGAGTCAACTCTACATGCTCTTTATTAATTTGTTTGTTCAATGCTCTATAAAATTAGCCGAACACCCAGTTAATAAACCACCAATACATAAAAATAAAATTTTTATCTTTGTAATATTTATATAATTTAATGTGTCTCATTAATTGCCTATGTTTGCTAAGTTGAAAGCAGCGGATTTGAGTTTCTAAGCATTATTCATAACATTATAAATCATATATATGAATTAAGAGTTAATGTTCAATTAGGAATTAAATTTTTAATAAAACAGAGATTTTTATTAATGTAAATAAATATTTTTTAAAAACATGGAATGTTCAATGAGGTAGACTATGTATAAAACAGTTTAGTAGTTCATATCATTGAAAAATTATGTTTAAATTCACTAAATTAGTAGAGGAAACTATAAATGCTCTTTATTAATATGTCTGTTCAATGCTCTAGAAATGTCAATGGATAGGAAATTAATAAATCATTTATATAAGGTGATTTTATAACGAATAAAATTAGTAGTTATTATTCTACATGTTTTTTATTAATTTGATTATTCAATATACTATTAATTTATATAAAAGGACAATTAATAAATTAATCATCTTTAATAAAAAAATTTAATTTCTGTATTTTTAATTTTTTCATTGTATATACAAGTTATTAAGAAGATATATATATGTACATGTTGTAAATGAAGTTCTCTGTAAAAAATATAATTCTCTTGAGTTCACATCTTTGTATATACATTTTTTTTATATTTTTATCTAGATTTGCTTCTAACAAAAAAAATTTTATAAGTTCTCAAATTTCGCATTTTTGCAGATTCACGTCACAACATTTATCTGATAATGTTGATAATTCATTTCATTAACCACTTTATGCACTTTATTTCTTAAGTTTATTTAATTTATGAAAGAAAAAAATATATTTAAATGGTAGATGTTACTTAAGGTTGTTATTATAATTAAGGAATTATTCTATTTTGTATGAAATTATTACTTAATTAAATTGGAAAAATCTATTAAAATTAAAAAAAAAAGTTAAATATGATAAAATTAAAATTTTAACTTCAAAAAATTAAGATAACATGAAAAAGAAATTGAACATTGGATTATAAGTTGTAAATAATATATTACAACATATATAGTTACATAAGTTATATTATTTAAATTATTTTAATGATGTAATTAATGATAATTTTATACATATTTCATTTACTCAATTATTAGAATTTTACTATTAAGATTGATATATTGGCATAAAAGTATTAACAAAGCTACACTATATATTGATGAAAAATAAAAATTAAACTATTAAATGATATTATTAAATATATATGTAATCATTTTCATAAATATAAATGGAATATAAACATAAAAATTACAATGAGAAAAATATTATATAACATTTTATGTTTAAAATTTTTTGGTATCTTATTTTAATGATTCTTTTAAAATATAAAGTTGAAATACAAGTAATATATATATTATATATTCTCTTTTTTGAAGAACTATATTATTTTATTTTTATTTTTTTTTTTTTTTTGGTTAATTTAATATATTTTATGGTATTCATATAATAAAATATTATATTTTTATATATTTAACAGAAACATAAATTATAGAACATGCAAATGGATAATAAATTATCTTTCTGATATAAAAATTGATAAAAATGAAATAAAATTGCATTTAAATTATAATAGAGACATCTTTGAATTAGGTTAACAAAAAGCAATATTTTGAAAATTATTTACAAGTAAATCTTTCATTTTATCTATACATAAGATTAATTTATAATACATAAAACACATACATTTAAAATACATAACAAATTTTAGAAAGAAAACTAAGGAATATTTCATTTTGGGTTATGTTATTCCTCATCTTTAATAGAAGCAGAAATATATAAATATTAAAAGATGTTATCTATAATATTTATTTAATATTAAATAAAACAATTAGAAAATAAAAAGCTATATAAAATAAAAATGTTAAATATATAAAATTTAGTTTAACAAGCTTCTTCTGTGAACATTTAAAGGTAAATAAGATACTACATTTTCAAAAAAAAAAAAAATTCATAATTACCTTATATAAATTCTTTTTCCTATTAATATTTTTATATGTATTTATATTTTTCCTATTTTTTTACCTTTTTATACTTTTATCTTATCAAATTCTTTTTTCCACTTTAAATTAAACTCACTTTCTTCTTCATCAACTTTCATATTTTCTTCTTTTTCCCACTTTTCATTTTTTTCCTTTATGCTCTTTCCCCACTCTTCCTTTTCTTTTTGCATTCCCTTTTCCCACTCTTCCTTTTCTTTTTGCATTTCCTTTTCCCATTCTTCCTTTTCTTTTTGCATTCTATTTTCCTCTTCTTCCTTTTCTTTTTTTCCTTTTTTTTCTTTTAGCAATTTCTTTTCCAACTCTTCCTTTTTTTTTATCATTCTCTTTTCCAATTCTTCCTTTTTTTTTTTCATTTTCTTATCCAACTCTTCCATTTTTTTTAGCTTTTTCTTTTCCAACTCTTCCATTTCTTTTAGAACTCCATTTCCCATCCCTTCCTTTTCTTTTAGCATTCTCTTTTCCCACTCTTTATTTTTTTCTATCATGCTCATTTTCCACTCTTTATTTTTTTCTATCATGCTCTTTTTCCACTCTTCATTTTCTTTTAGCATCTTTTCTTCGTGTTTTTCCCTTCTTTCTCTTCTTTTTTCTTCTAATATTTTTCTTTCTTCTTTTTTCCGTTCATTCATCATTATACAATTCTCTTCATATTTTTTCCATTTTTCATCTAATTGAACTACTTGACGATAGAGCGTTTCTATTCTCTTTTTTTCATTTTCTATATCTTTTTCTCCATTCCATCTTATATTAAATTTTTTCATCTCATTATTTGTCTTTTTTTTTCTTTCCTCTTCTTTTTTATTTAACTCTTCCTTTTCTCTATTTTCTTTTTCTTTCCTTTCATCCCATTTTTTCTCCATCTTTTCCCAATCACCTTTCATCTTTTTATCCCTATTATCCCATTTATTCTGCAACTTAACTCTCTCTTTATGCTTAGCTTTCAATTTAGGAGAGTAAGCTCTCTATAAATTATTACAAATGATTTAAAATTTTGTTTTTATAATATATATAAAGTTTATAATTATAAACTTTATTTTACCGCAAAACGAAGGAAAGAAATAATAATCATAACTAACTGAAAAATACTTAACGACTTTTTATGAAGAAGATTTATTGATTTAGCTGAATCCAAATTTATATCTTCAGATGGATTCTGAATGGCATTACTTAAATTCAAATTATCATATAATGAATTTTTTGGTATTGAAACAACTGCATCTTTAATTGGACTATGAGCGAAACCTGCAGTTGAATATCCCTCACTTAGACTATCATTAGAGGCAGTACTAATAGCATCACTAAGATTAAGATCCATTTTTGGTATCACTAAAAATGTAAAAAAAAATATTGAGAAATTATTTCTAATATTTTTTTTAATGATTTTTAAAATATTTCTCTTTTTTTTCAGTAAGGATAATATAAGTTAAAAAAAAAAATATGGAAATATAAATTAGAAATTAACAAATAACTTAAAACAATATGATTATTGAGAAAATAATTAGTTTTAAAATTTTTTTTTTAAATATTAACGCAGAAATGCCTATTAAAAGCTAAATCTATAATTACAACACAAAAATTTTAAATTTTAAATTCTAAATCCTACATCCTAAATCCTAAAATTATTAATTATATACTATAACCTCTTATTAATTATATTTTTTTAATTATATTTTTCATAATAGAAATATTGTTTAAATAATCAAAAAATAATAAATTTTTAATTAATCTTTTATACTTACAAAAAAAATATTCCTTTTCATTTTTTTATTTAATTTTTTTATTTAAATTAAAAGAGAATAATATAGAAAATTATTTAGATATGCAAAAAAAAAATGTTATATTCATTTTTTTACTTAAAATATTTTTAGAATAGTTTATATTTAGATACAATTATATAGGGCTTTAAAAAATTTTATTTTTATTTTTATATATTTTTTTATTTATTTATCTTATTTTAAAAATTATTTATTCAAAGCATGCAACTTTATCCTCGTTTAATTTATTATGACAATTATTACTAATTCAATAAAAAATGTGAAGTTAATTTAAATTAAACATTAGAGGGATTATGGTAATAACGAAAAATAAATATCACAACAAAATAGATACATATTCTATAAATACATTATTATTTTTTTTTTTTCTTTTTGATGTCATTTTTAAGTTTTTGTTTTATAATTACGTAATAATTATATATACTAAAAGTTTTTTTTTTATCGTTATTTAATTTTTTTTTCTTTTGTATCGTTTTATTATTCAAATGCTTACTTTCAAAACTTTAACCTTTTTTGTTTCCTCCTATAAGATATTTTTATTATTTTATAATAATGGATTTTATTTTCTCTTTTACCATTTTTAACGGATTCATATTAGAGAATAAAATTAAATATAAATTTTTTTTTTTTTTTTTTTTTTTTTTATAGATTTAACTTTTGGGAGTGTCCATTTGTACATGCTGCAACGGAGATAAAAAAATTATTTCAATCGGTTGCTCAAGCATGCTTAGGGCGTGCTTAATTTTTTATTTTTTAGAAAATTTTTAAGTTATATTTTTAGTATTTTTGTTATGTAGTTTTATTATAAAATAATTAAATTTTTAATATTTAAATTTTATTTTTTCTGTTTAGATAAATAATTTATTTATTAAGATTTTCAAAAAGAAATATTATAATAAGAAAAAAAAAAAAAAGAAGCATAAGATTCATAAAATTTATTGTTAATTACTAATATGCATATGTTTATATAGATGTATTTTTTGTTTGCGTAATATTTTATTTTTGAAATTTTAATAGAGAATTATATATATATATATATATATATTATATATGTGCATTATTTTTTATTATAATTTTTTTAATAATTTTTTTTTTCTTTTTTTTTTTTTTTTTTTTTTTTTTTTTTAAATTTTTTTTTTTTTTTTTTTTTTTTTTAAATACTAACAATATTTTATAAAATACAATGATAATATTATTCTTATTTATTTTTATTCCCTCTCAAAAATATATATTTCCTATCGTGTAAAAACTTCTGTTGTTTTCTTCTTAAAATATATATATATATATAAATTTATATACTTCAAATTTTTTTTAAAAAATTATTTTTTTCTAGATATTTAAAAATATTTAAAATATGAAATATTATATTCATATAGCAAGACACTAAAGTATTTATAAAAAAAAAAAAAATATAACATTATAAATACTTTAACTTTTTACTTTCAGATTATACCACAAGTTCTGGAGAATATGATAATTCGACTATAACTAATTCAACAACTGTAAATGATACCATGATAAGAACACCTCCAAATAATATAATTGGTAACATGACTAAAATTACTCCAGAAATCCACAATGATGGAAAATGTTCAACCGCTGATATTCTTAATAAATTACGTAATAATATTTTGAAATCATTAGATAATCCTATTGCTTATATTTATCCCCTAATGATAATTATTATGTTAGTTGTATTATTTTACTTTTGTTATGTTTGGGTATAATAAAATCACTTCTTTAAAATAAACAATTTCTTTCTTCTTTTAAATTATTTACTTAAAATTATATTATTAAAAAAAAATTTAATTAAATTTTTAACATTATAGGTAAGTCTTGAATGGGAATCACGCAGAAGTCAGTTAGAAGAAAAAAATGATAATGAAATAGAAGAGAGCGATAAAGGTGAAAATACAGGAAAAAGAAGGAGAGGAAATACGGGTGAAATAAATATAGAAGCATTAAATGAAAGAGGAAATGAAATAAAAAAAAGAAGAAAAAAAAAACAAGTAAAAATAGATGATACAGAGACTATTAATTTAACAATAGTACAAATAGAGAATGAATCAAAAAGAGATACAGAAGAAGAGTAAATAAATCCAATAAAAGTAGAAATAGAAAGGAAATAAACAATAGGTTCAATAGTATTAGTACAAGAAAAAGAAGAGATGGAGCTAATAGTTGAAGAAGTATAAGACACTTGTTATATATTATTTAATTATACATTCTAGTAAGAGTTAGAACAATTTTTAGTTTAGATATGAACAAAAATTTTTCTTTAAAAAATAATTTTTATTATATGAAATTCATTTTTTTTTTTGTTACATAATTTTGGAATAAGTATAAAATATATTAAAAAATAGAAAATAAAAAAAAAAAAAAAAAAAACAATAAAATAAAAAAAAATATATAAAAATTCACAAGCAGTAACTATATATATCTCTCATATTACTATTTTTATTTTATATAAAAAATGTTGAAAAAGTTTAGTATTTAAAAATTAAAATTTAATATTTTATATAAAAAAAAAATAACATTTTGATATATTTTTTTTGAAAATATTTTTGTTATTATAAAAAATCCTTTTGAATTTTTTTTTTTTTTTTATACATAAATACATTTGTATATATTAATATTATATATATTTTTTTATATACATTAATGTATCTTTATATACATAAAATTTTAATATAAGTTAAAAATTTAATTTTAAACATATTATGTCGCTTTTGAATATTTTTATGTAAAATATTATTTTTATTTTATTTTTTAAAAATACCTATTTTATTACAATTATCTCTTTTTTTTTTTTTTTTTTTTTTTTTTTTTTTTTTTTTTTATTATAGTGCTCTATAATCAGCTGCGAAATGTTAACATATAGACAGCAGTTTAAAAAAAAAAAAAAAAAAAAAATCTTAATATAAAAATAATATTAAAATTATGATTTATTAACTTATAAAATTTTCTGTAGAAATCTTAAGTAATATCATTTCTTCTATAATTTTAACTTAAATTATATAGTTTTGTATTTTTTAAATTATTAAGAATAAGTAATTTTATATTTTTTTAGATTGAAAAAAAGAAAAGAAATAAATAAATAACATAGACTTATAAAAAGTTAATTTTTGCATTACAAATAATCCTTAGAATTTATATAAAGTATTTTCCTTATTAGACTTTTTTTTTTTTATATATAAAAAAAAAATTTCATATTACTGAAAAAAGTTTATTCTATTAAGAATACTTAATAATACTAAAACTATTTTTCTTTTATAAAAATTTTTTTATTTTCAGAAATTTTTTTTAAATATGGATAATAAAGAATCTTTGTTTTATAACGGTGTAATTGATCCATATGTAGTTAACTACATTTGGTTATATGGGAAAAAGGAAAATTCAATGGAAAAAAATAATGAAAATAAAATTGAATTAAATAATGAGAATAATAAAAACGATAATATAAAAGATAAAAGTTACATAGACAAAAAAATGAATCAAATACATAAATTAAATAATAATGAAAAAAGAGAAGATATACTATATTAAAATAGAAATTCTCTTTATTTTTTTTTTTTTTTTTTTTTTATTTCCTTTCATTATATATTTATTTATTATTATTATTTTATTTTTTCATTTGTCATTCATAAAAATTTTTTAAATAATATATATATCTCTTTTTTAATTTATAAATAAAATTTGAAATATATGACAATAAAAATCTGATAAAAAAAAGGAATTTAAATAAATATAAAAATTATCTTACTTTTTATAATTTAAGTAATAATAATATATAAATCTCAATAAAAATAAAGAATACACTGAAGTAATCATTTTTATAACTTAATGATATATAATTAAAACAAAAATATGTGTACATATTTTGCAAAATGTTTCTACATAAATACGTTAAAAAGCAACAATAGTAATTATGAAAAAAAGTATTTTTATATATAGCGAATTTTAAGTTATAATAACAATAATTATAACAAATGTAAAAACTATTATAGATAATATTTCTTATGAACTATCTTTAAA